TTTTCCATAGAAGTTTTCAAAATTCTTTAAGAAAAATCGTCATTTTCAGTAAGTTATTTTTCCAATTCTTAGATTAATACTTTCAGGAAACATTATAAATTTATTCTAATAACTAGTACATAGTTAATTATGGCTGTTTAAGTATATTTTATTTATAAACAAATTGAATACAGACAGCCTTCATACATATTTATGTATTTTGTGTTGATTGACAGCAAAATCACTATTTCGTCCTAATTTGAATATAGATAATTATTTCTTAATTGTTTCCCATTCAATTAAAGTTACATTAAAATGTCTAGGAAGGCAACCCCAAATCATTATCATATAAATATATTCAACTCACATACATATTTAATATTTAATTTATACTTTCCATCTTCCGGTGTATCATTGTAAATGTGTACGTACATATGTATATACTGCAGTCATTTAATACGTTAATTTTAGGTAAATATATTCGGAATTCAGATCTGCCCAATGCTCTATTCTCTGTATGAACAAGTTGTTGGCCTACATAATCAATGGATATCAGAGCGTGAGTGATGAAGTAGTACTTCGCCCATAAGATATTTCTGACATCTAAGCAGAATATGGCGGGACTTAGAATGGGCGTTCGATAAAAATATCGGTTGTTATACATACAGTTGCCAAGGGAAGAATGACCCTATGTTAGTGTGTCGCTTCTGGGTCTAGAAATATTCCAGTTGTATTTATTATCCAATTGTAACAAGGGGCTAACCAAGATTTGTGTTCCAACAGATTAACCCTAGGCTACAATCTCAGCGGAAAGGCCATGTGCATTAGAGACATTTATGGAAATGAACTGACAGTTAATCTGCTCTGAATATCTTCAAAGCGGTTTCTGTACCAGCTCCGTTTAGATAATGACTTTCGAATATTTGTATGAGTTGCATTAACAAGGAAGAGGAAACTTTCTTTCGCCCTCTGCCATGAGGAAAAATGTCTGGGAAGTTACGCTATATCTAATCATGGTTGACTATTTGTGTCAACGACCTATTGAGATATCTAACTGCTACAGGCTGGACCTAACACTGCATTAATATACACTACGACACATCTGACTAGTTATGTGGTCTTCTCAAAATGGAGTCGCTTCGACTCTACTTGACAGTTTACGTGTAGTAAACTATAACATTAACCAACCAGATCTTTTTCAGGGAGTATGAAATGTAATACATAAATCTGTGATAAATCCTAAGCCAAAATATATTCTGTTAAGGGTGACCAGTAGAGGTTAAACTCCCATCACCAGTAAGCTACATGTATGTGCATTTTATGAAAATATTTTTAGATAAGTTTTGATAAGCTTTGAAAGTTTAAATTTTGATTCCGTGATGAAAAAGCTATCATATAATAAATGCTTTATACATCTATGGAGCTTATTTTAATCAATTCTATAACTAATTTATGTGCCTTTATGGGAGATATGTATGTATGTATATCCAATTATTTCGCAGAATGATTTTTTGATACGCAAAACACAGATAGTTCAATGTACATGCTGCTTGTGTATAAGTGGTACCATGTCTACTACTTCAACCATCGCTCTGGAAACATTGCAAAATATTCCACCCATTGAAACATACTTATGATATGAGGCGGCGCTTACAAGCGGAAAGTTATAAACAATCATCTGACGTGCCTGATCGCATACCAGACACAGAATATGTCGGAAATTTTGAAACGCAGCTCGCAGATAGAATGTCTTGGTCAAGCGGAATATTAGAGCAAATACCAGTAGGAATCCTTTGTTACACGGATGGCTCTAAATTGGGGGACAAAGTGGTCTTGGGGTTCTATATTGACCCAGAAATAAAAATATACCACCACAGAAATATACCAAATCATAACACAAGCTTCCAGGCAGAGCAATAACGAAATGTGTTAATTGGATTGGAATAAATATGGCGTCCACAGGGCTTAATATATTTACCGACAGCCAGAAGGCAATTAGGGCGATATCAGGTGATCGAGTTAAATTTAAGTCCGTATTGGATTTTAAGAAATCTTTAACTGATTATTCTCCCAGAATAATAGGGTACCAGACCACTCGGGAGTAGTCGGCAACGAAAGGGCGAATGTAATAGCTTATAAGGAAGCTTTAACTGATTATTCACCCAAGGGTTAGGTTTACATCATAGGGTACCAGGCCACTCGGGAGTAGTCGGCAATGAAAGGGCGAAAGTAACAGCTATAAAAGAAAGGGATCTCGTGGTAGTTAACCTGTCGAACGCAAAATCTTTCGACGCAACAAAAACTGAATTAAAAATATGGGTAAGAGAATCCCATAAGGCCTCTTGGAATAATAAAACGGTTGGTAGAACCAGAAGGATCCTATGGGGTGACCCTGAGCAAGACGAGAAATCTCTTCAAGCAAGACGAGAAATCTCTTCAAAATGAGCAAATCTGAGGCTAGCATGATGATACGTATTCTGAGTGGACACACAGGATTACGTGCACATCTACATCTATTCCGGAAATAACATTCCTGACTAACTCTGATTGGAAAATTCTTAGGAATTTCGTCCAGGAAACTGAGTTTCTGAACATTGAAAAATAATACATTCAGTGAACAATTTTTTATACCCTACACCACCAAAGTGGGTAGAATCACTTTCTGAGTCGATTAAGACATAAGTGTTTTTCGGCGAAGCCTATTGAGAATGGTTAAAACCGTTTATTTCATCTAGCCCCCAGACAACCCTACCTTTTGAGTTCATAATTATGCTTTTGAGTTCATAATTATGTTAAATATTGTATCTCTACAAAAATCTGCAAAAATTAGTTCTATATATATTACCCCCATACAAAGTCCCCTTCGGAAAATGACTTGATGGTCAATAATTCACTTATTAACACTAGTATCACGATGAAATCCAGCATACATAACTCTTATGTAAACGTAAAGCCATGTACCAAAATTTATAAGGATAGGCCCATATTTACCATAAAACCCCTCTTTTAGAAAATCACTTTTTTCAACAAATTGTTAAAATATTTCGGAATTAAGGTAAACAACTTAAATGCTTTATTATTAAAAATTATCCACATTTTGAACATACTCAATGCTGTAGGGTATCATATGGTCGGCCATGACCGACTATACTTTCCTAATTATTTTTTCATGAAAAGAAGAACACAACATGCCCGATAGTGTTCTTGGTATATTTCTTGGGATTTGATCCTCCTATCAACCTAACGAATGGAGCTAACTTCATGAACAATTTAACAAAACAAATTGTTTTACCGTTTCCGACCAAAAGTAGTAAAACGTAGACCTAACTTGATATCACAGTATTTATGACGATATAACAACATTGATGAAATAATCGCTTATCTTGTCATCATATGTTTATGACAGAAGACATTTTTGAATACATAATTTTGTCTTTAACATTGTCAATAGCATACCGTATTTAAGATGTTGTCGCTCAATTTGTTTTTAATACTGCTTTAAAGATGACAACTTTCTGATCAATTTCGCTTATCTTGTCGTTAACGAAGATTTCTTAAACATTATCGTTTAGCCAACTTTAGCGATTGGGGGCAAATTCAACAAGTGAGAGTGTTGTATTCGGCTGTGCCGAATCTCATATATCCGCCATCAAACCGTATGCCTTAACAGGAATGTCGAATTTCATTGCTATAATAGTACTTTTAAAATAGATATGTCCATTAAGGCTGATTTTCGGGGGTCCAATTGTATGGGCGCTATCCGAAAACGGATTTTCAATACCAAACAAACCTTACCTATAGAGAATATTTGTGAAAAATTTCAATCCTCTAGCTAGTTCCGTTCGGACTCTATCGTGCTTTCAACAGACAGACAGACGTACGGACGGACAGACATGGCTAGTCGTCTTAGAATTTAAGAAGGACCCAGAATATATGCTTTTGTGGGTCTATGACCAATATTTCCATGTGTTACAAATGGAATGACAAAATCAATACACCCCCCATCTTTTTTGATGGTGGCTATAAAAATGTCTTCCATGAATCTTCAAAGACAATGTCGTCTACTATCATTTTGCCAAATGTAACGGAACCCGTACCGGAAAATTTTGCGGTTTCTAACCAAAATAGTAAAGAGAAAATCTATTTTGATATCATGGCATAAATCTTGAAAAATTTACCAAAATGAGTAATTATTTGTAAGAAATCAATGCACAAAAGAGAAACTTATTATCTTCTTAACTCATTATAGCCAACAACGATTGCCTTTGTATAACGCCTACCCTGAAATTTCAACATTCACCCTGTAGATTTTTATTTAATTAATGTAACCTTTGAGCATTACTATTTATCTTATATGAGTTTAAACAATTTCCCCCTCCCTGTTTACAAATCTATGAAAATCTAACAGACAAATCTTACCCTAGTGTACAACAATAAAAATATGTACTATACTAAAGAACGTGTAACAATTTCAACCCCCCCTGAAACCATTAGAGAAAACAAAAAAAATATACCAAATAAAAACACACAAAGAGATTTATGATTTTGATAAAGAAACAAAATGTTTTTCTTCAAAAATCTTTGAAATCTATTGAGCGAACAATAAGATGACATTGAAATTTGAATAAATTTTATTTCAGTGTTTTTTTATTTGTTTAAATAAATTTGTTGTTGTTTTTTTAAAGATAATTTCATATGGTACCTATAATAATGATAATTTACACACATTCATAATTATTTAATTAATATGGAGAACTGAACTAAAGTGGTCAAAAAGGATTATATTTTTTTGTTGTTGTGGTTGTTGTTGTAGGAAATAAAAAAACATTTTTCTGTGCTGTTACAAATTGTAGTTTTTTTGTTTAATAATATTTTGTATTTTATTGTTTTTTTTGTTATAATTTAATAAATAATACATTTTACACATACATAGAGATAATAAATTGTTGTTGTTGTGTTTTAATATATGTTTTGTATGTCTATTAATAATAAATTAATTTGTTAAATTTTTTTTTTTGTTGTTTTTTTTTGTAATTTTTATATTGAAATCCTATTAAATACTAATTAATACACACTTAAAGAGTTAAAGATCATTGATTTTTGTTTTTGTTTTGTTTAAATATATAATTATTTTTTATGTTTTTGTTTGTTTAGAAAACAATTTGGATTTGAATTTTTTTTTTTTATTTTAATTTGCTGTTGAGTTGAGTTTGCTGTTTTAGTTTTTATGAAAATTTTTTTATAATTTTATGGATTTTTTTTTGTTGGTTTGGTAAGACTACAAGAACATTTAGATAAGAAAATTTAAAATTTGAAATGCTACTAATGGTTAATATTATATTTAAGTCATTAATTAATTAATATCGCAGTTAAAAAATTTGTGATTTTATATTTTATATTGAATATTTGTTAGTTTTTGAAAAAAAATTTTGAATTTTCTTTTTTTTTTTTTTTGTAGTTGTATTAATCTTTCACAATATTGAGGAGTTTGCAGTTTGAGTTGAGTTTCTTTTGCAAAAAAAAGCTTAGTTTTTTTATAAATTGTTATTTTATTACTTAATTTACAATTAATTAAACTGTTTTTTAGTTCTTTTTAGGGAAGAGTTTGAGGAATTATTATTTTTAATTTAATTGTTTTTTTTTTAATAAAAAGCTAGTGCTAACTATTTAACAGCTACAACTACTACTTAATCAGTATCACATTTTAATGAGTTATAGTAGATGGCAAACTCCTAGAGACTTAAATGTTTTCAAAAAATGTATCTAACTATTATACATTATTTTTAACTTTTTTGCTTAACTGTATAAAGTAGAGAATACATTTGTTTGCCAGAAAAGTTCTGGAGTTGTAATGCAAACATCTGACCATATTTTTCACAATTTACGTTCCTTTCGAAATCAAAACACAAACGAATAAAACTTAAAACTACTAAAAAAATCTTACTTTTCTAATATGGTGGTGAATTCACAATGAGCTTGAGAGAGTGACAGAGAGAGAGAGTGAAAGATGATGAAACGACAACATTGTTTTTTATGAGGTTTGAGATACTTTTTTTTTTGTTTATATATTAAATATATATATTATATACATTTTATATGCATAGTTGTATGTATGTATGTACTTATAGTTATTCAAATTTTAGCTTACAAAGCTTAAAAAGTTTTACCATGTAAAAAAGATGAAGCAAATGTTATTGGTTGGTTGGTTGTTTGATTCCTATATAGTATTATACCTTAAGTATTAAGATAATGCTAATAATGATGATGATGATGGTGATAATTATGTTGCCTGTCGTTGACAATGAGCGCGTTTGGTTGATGAGTTGGTTTTTATATGCCATATAAAGGTGGGATTGTTCGAAACTAAACAATAAAAGCTAATAGCAGCCATGGGAGCCATTGCCGATATCAGGCAAACTAACTGCTTTCATTGGGCGAATACAATTTATGTTTGGTCAAACTAAATTCCGGACTTATTGTTATGCTGCGCGATAAGTTCTTCATGAATTGTGGCAACAAAGACGCCCAGCCGCGTTTATCCTGGCGCAAAGTTAAATAAAGTTCAAAAGTGGAGACCATTTCGTGATCCACCTTAAGGGTGCCTATGCGTCGGGAATTTTGTGGTTCTTCTTCGAATTCTATATAGAGTGTACAGCCACGTACGCCGCAGGGTTCACGTTCGGAGACACGTATGATTTCTGACGCTATGCGTGTGGTGAGATCACAGGGTATTGAGACTTCGGTGCAGGTTAAATTACGAGATTTTGCTGCACGCAATTCTTCGAGCAAACGGCTGGCCAAATCATTTATAGCCGCTAGTTCGAATTTATCACAGTATAAGAGTTCTTCATCAGCCAAATAATTTGGACTGTTATTATTATTATTATTAACACTGGTTGTTGTGTTGCTATTTGTGTTTGTAGTTGTTGTATTAACATCTGTTTTTGTTGACGTTCGAGTGGTCTGCAGGGAAGTGGACCAATCTAAAATGAAATCAAAGAAAATAAACAAAATATATAATTAATATTTCAATTTTTCTTACATTGTTAGTTTACAATTAGTTTTGACGTAATCTATGCCCTTCAGTTAAACACTCAACGGAAGTGTCAAGTTTTTATTTTTCTTTTATTTATTTAGCTGTATTTCTTCTAATATTTTTTTCTAATAAATCTATAGGGTCTATTGTTGTCTGTCGGCTTTGTTTCTCGTTTGAGACGTGTATGTAAGCTAAATGTTAAATTTCATCAGATTATTATAAAATATAACAACAACAAAAACGTGAGAATATTGATTGTATTTATAAATAAATTAAAATGCTGATGAAATTTTTATATATAAATTACTGAGAGGTGTGTTTGTCTTTTTATTGTTTCTGTCTAAGACAACTACAATAAAAACAAACTGTTGTGAATAAATAAAAAAAATGCAAATTAATTTTAAACTAATTTTATTGAATGAGTTTAATTTTATTGAATTTATTATAGTTCAGTGCTAGTTCTGTTCTAGTTCTTTTCTAGTTAAGTTCTAGCTCAGTTCTAGTTCATTTTTAGTTCAGTTCTAGTTGAGTTCTAGTTCAGTTCAAGTTAACTTCTAGTTCAGTTCTAGTTCAGTTCTAGTTCAGTTCTAGTACAGTTCTAGTTCAGTTCTAGTTCAGTTCTAGTTCAGTTCTAGTTCAGTTCTAGTTCAGTTCTAGTTCAGTTCTAGTTAAGTTCTAGTTCAGTTCTAGTTCAGTTCTAGTTCAGTTCTAGTTCATTTCTAGTTCACTTTTAGTTCTATTCTAGTTCAGTTCTGGTTGATTTCTAGTTGAGTTCTAGTTCAGTTCTATTTCAGTTCTAGCTCAGTTCTAGTTCAGTTCTAGTTCAGTTCTAGTTCTAGTTCAGTTCTAGTTCTGTTCTAGTTCAGTTCTAGTTCAGTTCTAGTTCAGTTCTAGTTCAGTTCTAGTTCAGTTCTAGTTCAGTTCTAGTTCAGTTCTAGTTCAGTTCTAGTTCAGTTCAGTTCAGTTCTAGTTCAGTTCTAGTTCAGTTCTAGTTCAGTTCTAGTTCAGTTCTAGTTCAGTTCTAGTTCAGTTCTAGTTCAGTTCTAGTTCAGTTCTAGTTCAGTTCTACTTCAGTTATAGTTCAGTTCTAGTTCAGTATTAGTTCAGTTCTAGTTGAGTTCTAGTTCGGTTCTAGTTCAGTCCTAGTTTAGTTCCATAACAACAATAAAATTGAGGAATATAATTGGAATATAATTTTAAAAAATTTAATTTAAAGAAAATCAGAAGAACTAGTTTTTGAAATTTTTGTAGGCAATTTATCAAAGGTTTATAAGACAAATTTAGCAAAATCAGAAGAATTAGATTTTAAAATTTTTAGAGACAATTTATCAAAGGTTTAGAAGACAAATTTTCATATAAAATTTGTTCTCTAAAGTTTTGCTAAATTTTTATGAATAATTCTCTAATAAAAAAATTAAACAAAATTCTTATTTTTTCTAAATTAGGGAAATTGTATAAAGATTAGAAAATCTAATTGTTTTAGAAGTCTTTAAAGTTAATATTATTTAGTTTATATTAAAGAGATGTACAAAAATCTAGCTTTATTTGATAAAATTCAGTTTGAATTGCTTTTAAACATCTCAAAATTTTTGAACATTTTGAAATTTCAAAATTTAAAAAACGGCACGTGATTAAAAGAACTTGTTCAAATCGTGTAAAATAAAATTTCCGAAAAAACGGGAATCTACTTTTAGAAATTGAAAACTTTATGCCTTTAAATATTAAATTCAGACTCCACAATATGAAAGATTTTTTAAAATTGAAAATTTTTTCTAGAAAATATACGTATTTGAGATTTCAATGAATTTGGATAAATCTGACTTGTAAAACCTACTATATATTGCGATTTCATAAAAAAATTTTAAATTCTCATTTTAATATTTAAAAGATTTACTTCTTCAATAATTCTATTTCAAACTTCTCTAACTTTTACAGATTTCTCAAAAACCTAAATATTTTTCAAATCTTTAAAAACTTTAACTTGAACTAACATTTAAAAGTTTATTTTTTTCAAAACTTACCTTTTGTTTTTGTTGTATTACTAATAATACTAAAACGTTCGGGATATTGATTTTGCACAGATAATATTTCCATTTTATCTGGATTAATTTTGCTTTAGTAACAAAATAAAAATGTTCAAAAAAGTTTTTCTTTTTTTTTACAAAAAAAATTTAAATGCACGTTTTGTAGTTTTGTTAAAAAAATATTTAAGTTTCTTAACAAAGAAATCACAGTTCCTTTTTATTAGTTTTTTTTTAAAGCAAATTTATTTTCTTTTGCTTTTTTATAAATTTGCAATGACACTTTTTCTTAATGCTCTAAGGCATATATAACGTCACGTACGCTTTCTGATATTCTTAGCTTGTTGCAGACAATTTCTTTTCATTTATAAGACTTGGTGTAAAAAAAATTTTTTGTAGCAAAATTTTTTTTTTAATTAATATATTAAATATACATTTATATGTTTAGAAAATCACAATCTTTTTTATATATTATATGCTTTGTATAAAAATTTATTATCACCGCAAAAAAATTTTTCAAAATTTTTCTTTATTTAACTTGAAGTATTTTATTTATTTAATATGAATATCAGCAGTGTTTAACAGTAACTGAACTAAACAGCTGTGTGTCGGGGTTTTTATAGTGCCACAAAGAGTGACAATTTTGAGTAAGTTACGGTTAACAGAGAGGGTTTAATAATTTTACTCACCAGGGGAGAGCGCAAGAGCTGAAAAGAGAGTACAGAAAACATATGTTTGCTTTAGTTTTTCAAACAGCTGAGCGTTTGGTTAACAATTTATGAACGATTTGTTATTGATATTAAAAGTTAATATCTTATATTAAACTAAATAAATTAAAGGGTACAATTTTTAATAAAACTTTGACTCAAAAGTAATTTGTTAATAAAAAGAAAATTATAATTAATTAACAAACTATGTAATTAATTGTTAATTAAAAAGTTAATTTATAAAAATTAAAAAAATATATATATTTCATCATTTTTTTGTTGTGGCTATATAAATTAACTTAACAAATTTCACTCTCCCTGTCACTCTCTCACTCATATTTAAATTACTCACTCACTCGCTCACTCACCAGTTGTGCTCTTTTTTTTAATATTTCTGTAATGTATTCTCTCCCGGTTTCCCTACTTCTTCCCTAAAAATTGTTAGATTTTGCTCTTTTACTTTTTCACACAAAACCCGAAAAAACATGATGAAAATTGAGTGAGTTTTTCCTTTTTTTGAAAATGTGTAAATGTATTTGTTGTTGTAGATTTACAAGAGAAGGAACAAAAATTAAAAAAAAGAAAAATAAATTATATCTCCAACTGTGTGGTGTACGTGACTTTTTCATTTTAAAGTCGGTCGGTCGGCCGTTCAGTTGTTTAGTTGGTTGGTCGGTTAGTTGTTTGTTTGTTTTCTTATACATATATATTGCTGGCCCATGTTCTGGTCTTTTTGTTGTATGTTGTACGAGTTTTTTTTTATTATTTTGAAAATCGCTTCAAGTTGTTGTAGCAGCCACATTTTGACTTGTGTTTGCCTGTAAGTGAGTGTGTGTGTTTGTGTGTATTTTCATCGTTTACGTTCACTCATGCATTGTGAAAACTGTCATTAGAAGTACCCGTTTTTCCTATTTCTTCACCTCCTACACCATCCTTCACTTTTTTTCATCATCATCATCACAATTGTTGTTGTAGTTACACAGACACACACTCTTACACAAACATGCATACAATCAAAGGCAATAGCAACAAATCTTTTATAAGCCCATCTAAAGACCCACCGTCTGTCTATACCCAACAAACCAAAAAGCTTTAAAATTCGTTTATAACAAACTTACTACCATAAGCGTTAGGTTTGCAAAACTATTATGATAATTATTGTAAAATGCTTGTTAACAATTATTTTATCAAGAAAATTGAACCCTTGTGATAATATTCCTAGTTGCAGTTTACAACAAGCTTAGAATCGCAATTATGAAATAAGCTTACTGAAAAATAGTTTTTGAAACATGATTGAAGTAAGCTTATTTTCGTAACATTTTTATAAGGTTGTTAATTCAATTAAAACAATATTTTTTTTTTTTGTTTCATACATATTTTTTATTTTTCATTACTTTACTGATATTTTTCAATTATACTTTCTACAATTTTGCACTTTTCTATATATATTTTACGTATTAGTCTATTATTGGTAAATGGAAAAGACTTGTTTATACTTTTTATGAACTCGTCCTCCCTCAATCCTATAGAAAAAGCGGCATCTATAAAATAAAAAAGCACATTGTTTTATTATGTGGCATTTTTTATATATTAATTAAATTACCATTTTTAAACACAAATTTTATATTACTTTATTTTTTCTTAAACACTTAAAAACACTGCCTTTGCCAAACTAAACAAGAAGACTGAAATGAAGAAGAATAATAATAAGAAAAACACGCAATAAAATAACGGGATATCTTATAGGAAAACAATTACAAAACTATTGCAATCATTAGTCTTTTACAATCACATTTGTAAAACTTGTTATCCTAACTAAGTGTACAGCAAGTATTATTGCAAATATTGTTGCTATACGAAGCGTTTTTTAAGCATTATTTTAAAAGTATTTATAATTTCCATTAAAATAAACCTATCATAAGTATCCTTATGAAATGTTGTAGAAAATTCTTTATTATAAGTTTATTTTAAAATGTAGTTATATTTTGATTATGGCTTGGTTTGTTGGGTAGGTCTTTCAAACTTTTTGGCTGTATGAGTGTTGGTTGGTCCGTCCGTCTGTCTGTATGTCAGTCCGTCCATCCATCCGTCCGTCCGTCAGTCTGTCCATTTGACGTTTTAAACGCATACGAAAATTTTCAAAGTGTTGTCAGTTTATGTTTGTTGGTTTGTCTATTACAGCCGGTTTTTTTCTCTCTCTAATTCTCTTTAGTTTATTTTATATTTTTCTATATTTTTTTTTTCGTTTTTCCATATGTTTTTATAGTTTTTTTTTCTAACTTGTGTTTATTTCTTGTCTATTATTTTTTTCCTTTAGTTTTTCTTTTATTTTCTTTTAGTTTAATATGTAAATTTTCTTCAATTGTTTTTTCTTCTTCTTCTTCTTCAACTGTCAGTTTTGTATTGCTGAGTGTGTGTTGTTGCTTTTTATTGCTGGTTTCATTAAAAATTTCTCATTATTTCCTTTTAAGTTGTTTATTTTAAACTGTTGTTTATCTTACTTTTTATTTATTTAAAAAGTCATAATTTATTATTATTATTTTCTTTCTCTTTTTCCTTTTGCCGTTTTTCTCGCACTGTAATTTTTTCTTGTTCATGTTTATTTTGCTATTTTTATAATAAAAATACTTAAAACTGTTCTAAAATACAAAATGTCTTTTGTTTAGCTTGGACTGGCACACGTCAAAATTATAAAATAAAAAAAAAAATTATGAAAAAATACAATACTCAATTTGAATTTCAAAATTTATATATTTGAATCACAAACCAATGTGGATGTTAGTATGTACTTGCATTTTAATTTAAGCATATTTAAATTAGCATACACACACAAAATTTTATTAAATAAATTGTATTTTGTTTAATTCGTGTGTATTTAGAATTTATAAGATTTTTTTTTGCTCCCCTAATTAACACCTTATTCTTTGAACTTGCCATGTAAGTTTGAAATAATTATACCCTACACCACTGTAGTGCGGAGGGTGTTGGTATACCTTAAAGTATACTAATCGGCTCAGATTCGAATAAGCTATGTCCGTCCGTCTGTCTATGTGTCCATTGACGAAATTTGGAACGTGCGCTTCTTTTGATCCAAGGACGAAGGCTATTTAAAATGGTTGAAATAGGTCCATTATTTCACCTAGCCCCCATACAACCGGAGCCCCCGAATAGGGCTTTTGACCTCATAATTATGTTGAATGATGTACCATCTCTACAGAAATTGGCAAAACTTAGTTTTATATAGGGTAAATGCACCTAATGTCGGCATCACCCAGTAGTCGGCATCTTTTCAATAAAAATGTATATAAATAAGAAAAGCTGTACAAATTTATTAAGGTTTGATCTATATTTCATAGAAAATATGGTCTTTTTGCTTTATGAAATGAGTAAATTTAAGTAGGATTACTAATTTCCTCTATATTTGACGTTATTTAGTGACAGCTTTGCAGCATTTGTAGTACTGTCAGTTTTCTTAAAAAAATTTAGTTTTAGTGCCACCTTAAACAAGTGAATATTTATATGAAATTAAATGATTTATTTGACAAAAATTGATTTAAATGAAAGAAAACAGTTGAAATATTCAATTTAAAGTGAAAAAGTTAGTTAAAAATATATTTTTTTGTAATTTTAATCGCTGCCGCCATTAGGAACACAATTTTTTATGAATTCTTATTGTCGGCATAGGGGTGCCGACTACTGGGTATTAAGTTCGATCATACGTATTCTATAGTCGGCACTCTAAAATTTATTATTTCTCTATAGAAAAATTGGGTATATTACTATGAAAAATTTCTATATAACAATTTTCTCTTCAAAAATTATACGTATAACAGTTATTTTTGTAAAAAAATTTATGTATAACTCTTTTCTCTATAAAAATTTATGTATATTACAATTTCCTCTATAGAAAATTGATTGTACAACATTTGTTTCTATAGAGAATTATGTGTATACAATTTTTTTCTATAGAAAATTTTGTGTATAACAATCTTTGATACAAAAAATTATGTGTATATCAGTTTTCTCTATGAAAAATTGTGTGTATACCCTTTTTTCTATAGAAAATTACTTCTATAATAGCCTTTTCTATAGAAGATTACAATTTTCTACTACAGAATATAATTTTCTATACAAAAAATATGTGTATAACAGTTTTTTCTATTAAAAATTTTGCATATTGAAATTGCATAAAAAAATTCCTAGTATGACAATTTTTCTATAGAAAAGTGTTCTTATTATAATATCCTCTACGAAACTTATGTTTAATTTTTTTCCTATGGGAAATTGCATATTTTTATAAAAGATTTTCTTTAAAAAACAGTACATATAACACTTTTCCCTATAAAAAATTACTTTTTTCTCTAACAAAAAATATAATATTGTATAGAAAATTGCATGTGTAACTCTTTTTCTATAGAAAAAAATGTTATTATGTATACTTATTACAATTATAATTATGTTTATAACATATTTTTCTACAGAAAAAGCGATATTATTACAGTTATTTCTATAGAAAAAATTTAATTAAATATTTTCTTTGGAAAATGGTGTATATATCACTTTTTTCTATAAATAAATGTGCTTTTTTCAAACAAAAAATCTACTGCCGACTATAGGGACATTTTTTGTCGAACTTAGGAACACAGGTGCCGACTATTGGAAAATGTGGAGTTTTTAACAAAATTTACAAATTACTAAAAACTAGTTATTTGTTTTTCAAAAAAGTTAAATGGATCTAAAACTTAACTAAACACGTAATTGAAATAACTAAAAATCATCGTAATAACATTTTCCGACTCTTTAGGGGGATAGTTTGAAAAAGAGAAAAAAGTTAAACTGCCGACTATTGGTACATTTACCCTACATAAGTCTTATTAATTCTAGTGAT